ACATCAGTCATAAAAATAGGCCACCTCTGCTTACCAAACATAACAAAATTCCAGATCAAGCTATATCTTATCAGTCAGCTCCCTAATGCATTTTAATAAGACAAAGGTAACTAAAATGAAATCAAATTACTTTCTGCTAGAGGAACTTTGCACTTTTATAAATAAAAAAACAGCCTTTCAACACATCTATAACTCTAAACATTTCTACAACACAGGTATACAAACTGAGTTCCTGACACACAACTGATGCCCAAAACATTAATGGTCCTTAAAGTGCCAGCAAATTATGTTTTATTTTAACACAGGAAAGAGACTCATATCGGTAATGGCATGCAGTAATACAAATGCCATAATGATTTTTCAAAATATATTGATTACAGTTCATTTTGAACTTTCAATGTCATTTAAAGTTTCCTTTCCTTCCTTCCTTTCCTTTCCTTTGTGTGTATGGGGCTGGTATGTTTTAGGGCTGGATGCTAATTTTAGCAAACATAAACACTTCAAAAACAGCAAGGTCTGAAAACTAAACATTTAGGCCTATAATGTCTTTCCATCAGGAGCACTAGACTACATTAGAATACTTAATGGCTGCATACTTATAATAATGAGATTTTAAAAACCACGTATGCCTATGAAAATGCCCTCTTCCCCTGTAGCATTAAGACAGTTCAATATTAATTTGTATTCATTGCTTAATTGATTGCAATTATCCACCTCACCCAAAATGCCTGTGCAGTAGTAACCAGCTACCAATATTCTTTACCGAATGAGGCTCTAATACCTTTCAAAAACGTTGAAAGGGAAGGAATCTGAACTAGCTTCCTTGGCTGTTTGAGATCATTCCTCAACTCTCCCCATATCTTCTTGCCCATTGAATACACGTAGTGCTTGACTTAGTGACTCATTCAAAGTTACAACGGCACCAAAATGTGACTTATGGCCATTTTTCAAATTTATGACCATTTGCAGCATCCCCGTGGTCATGTGATCAAAATTCAGATGTTTGGCAACTGGTTCATATTTATGACCATTGCTGTCTTCCCTTGGTCATGTGATCACTTTTGGTGACCTTCTGCCAAGCAAATTCAATGCAGAAACCAGATTCATGGAACAACTATGTTATTAACTTGGCAACTACAACAACTGGCAAGAAAGGTCATAAAATGGGACAAACGTTACTTCATAACTGTCTCACATAACAACATAAATGTTTGATTCAGTTGTGGTCATAAGTCAAGGACTACCTGTAATCACTCAGTTTAACCGCAACTTCTTCTTTCTCCTTTCTTCTTGGATGAGAGATTCTAGAGTTATGCCCCATCTATAGGAAAAATAAATTAGCTACATATTCATCCAGAAAATATCCATGGGTGTTTCAAAATCATTTATATAATACAAAAATGGAGCAAGCAGGCAGATGGTATAAATTATTCCAGGAATCCCAGATAAGCTAAGGACTGTCTTTGAAAAACTATAACAGGACACGTGGAGAAGGGAGAAAAATCAAAGGAACATTTGCTTATATTCCAAATTGAGCATTCTCACATATTTGAATTGATTGCTTTATTTATTGAGTTTCTATAGCCAGCCACCTGTGATAAATAACATAAACAAGAGCCAGGAATAAACAGTCTACAAGAAGTAATAATCATTCCTTAATAGTCAGCAGTTCAACCCCATGAAGTGATGAGGTTCACCCTCGTCTCTATTTCTAAGTAATTTAAGATGGAAGATCTTGTCTGGAGTCAAAGGTCAGGCTTGGAGACTAGACTTGTGTGGGCAAGTGACTATCCCTGTAACGCTGGAAACTGAAGTCAATTTATTTGTATTATTCCTTACCCCTTGCAAACAATATGAAAGACTTTATCTAATTTAGTAGAATTCTAAGTTTAACTCTGAAGATAGGACATTGACAATCTCTCCTATTCTACTTTTTCCATCAATCCCTGAAGTTGACAGAAAGATGAGGATCCAGTATCAGAGCCCTGTCCACCAATCTTGGAGGGAGGAGGAAAGAAAATATGTGATCCTAGAACTACAAAACAAAATTTTAAGTGTCTTGCAATTTTCCTAAAATAGCAGTGTTCCAGAACATGAACATGAACAGAATATTAACAGCAATATCTACTAGATTAAACTTTCTTGAGAGAACAAGTAGGGGAGCTGAGGATGGGCTTTTTAATCACCTAGAGGGCCACCTATGACCTTTCCAACTTTGATTGTAAATAAAGCAGCTCAGCCAAAACAAATGTACATCTTCTGTATTCTACTTCTTCTCATGAAATGCTGTGCTATTTGTGAACATGACCAGCGAACTGAACAGATCAAAACTAACGTCATTCAAATCAAGTCTTCAGAACGTCCAAGCAAGTTGGGTTTTTTTTTTTAATGAAATGCCACTTTTTAATTGGGTTTGTTTACAAAAAGGAATTCCCCTTAGCCCTTTAAACTGGATTTTTGCCATTTTCCAGCTGCTTCCACACATGCAACTGAGTTAGACCCTGATATAGAAATTGAAACCTGTTTCTTTAGCACCCCACTTGCAGGAATCGCCTCGCCTTGTAAGAAGTGGAAGTATGATCAGTTCATTCCACCAAGAAAGCAAGATTGAACAGATCATGTTGGAAAAAGCTCTAGCAAAAGAAAATAGGGCTTCCTTCAGTTCTGTTGGTCTTATGTAAGTAGACACATGCACAAATTAGGTTATGCAAATTTATACAAAGGCAGCCAATTGACTAAACCTCATCCAATTACACAACTCAAATTCCTTTAATTCAGTGACAGCACTAATTAAAATGCCTGTGATTATTTGACAAACATTCAATTTAGTTGGGTCATAGCCTGAGCCATAAGTGATGTATGTAATGAGGAAGGGTGTTTAAAGCATACAATTAATTCACAATGGGCTTTTCTTCTCCTTCTGCTGGCATTGTTATGAATATTATAAATAATATTGTTTTTATTTTTCATCCCTACTTCCACTCCAATATATATTAAAGAACTATGTTCACACTAGCATAAATAACAGATAAGAAACTTCCCTCCTAATTTAATAATTGGAGACAGACTTTTCAGAAATGGGGATAATATGTAGTTTGGCAGAAGGGGAAAAATTAATATTTTGCATAGTTAGTATTATCTTTCTTCTACCTTTAGGGAAACAAATATTTAGAAATCACAATGGAAATGACAAGTATTCTTTACATTGATCTATAATGTAAGATATTTATGGTATAAAATTATTTAGTTAGACTGAAAGTCTAACTAAAACAGAGAGCTTCTGTATTGGTTTATGAGTAACATAAACCAATGTTTATGATGTCATACTATTCTCACAAAAAGAATAGCAGATAGTTTAACCAAGCTTGTTTCTCCTCTTAGAAAAAATCATATTTCCAGACAAGGAAACAAGACAAAAAAAGTATCTTTCACTGAAAATAATAACCTGCCAGATTCTAGATTTAAAACTTCTTATTGGAATATAAGTAGCCACAGGTCTTTAAATAGATTACAAAGTAAATCTCCATCTTTTCCCCCAATCAGACAATTGAAGCTCCACTCTAATTTAATATTTTTTTCCCACTGTGTCATAAATAGAGTCTTCCAGAACTAGTTTTAAGTCCCTACCTTAAAGCCCAAAAGTCCACTTTAGCTATTTGCTAACAAGTTAGACCTTTAGATGAGCACCATCATATCATTCCCCAATGAATGGACTTTAGTTAGGAGAGATCCTTTTCCATCAGCTAAGACTCCATTGGCAATTCATATATGTGTGTGCATGCACATAGACATTTTTAGCAACATTTCCAATTTTGTTCTATGCCACTGACACGGTGGACATCTCTAATTTTATTTAGAATGACAAATCAGAGAGCGGTCAGTTACCTACTTGAGCAAAAAAATCCCAAAGGATATTTGGGATTTGATCTAACTTCAAATTCTTTCTCCAAATGAATTGTCCTAGTAAAGTTTACAAGAGACATGCCAATGGGGTAATTCCTTTCAGTGTAAAAATATCTGGGGCAATGTTTGACACTTTGGATGGCCAAGTCAAAGGAATCCAACCCATTTAGAAGCAAGGTGGCATATTTCCTTCCTTCCTTCCTAGGACAGGAGTTGGTATCTTCTCCTAGCCTCAGTTGCTGTCATGGAATTCCTGATGTAGTTTCCCCACCCCACTCTTCATTTCAGCAATGTTTATTCATGGGGCAAGAAAGATCTTTGCTGGTGGATCTGCAACAAACACAGGCTGTGCATCTTCTGAAATTATCTCCATTGACACCTCAATGTCTATGCACTTCATAATCTGTACCTGGAGGTATATTCCTACTGTGCATCACTGCAAAGGACAGCCATAGAGATTCTTATTTGTTTTTTTCCCCCTCTATCTCTTTCTGCCAGAGCTGATTTTGCAAGTTTAGCCACCCAAACAACTCGCAAACTCGCAATCTTCAAGCTTTGGTTCACAAGTTGAATGAAAACAACCCTAAGCAGGGAGAAAAGAGGGCCCTCAAAATCATTTGTACACATCTTCAAGATGTTCAGATTACATTCATTTTTAACCTCAAATGCTAACAAACCTGTGTGTCACTCATAGGAGCAGACGATCAACTTTAGTGGCCCTAAGGCTGGATTCAGCCATCCACCTTTCCCTTCTAAATCATGCTCCTTTCTGGGGGAAAAAAAACACTTCATCAAATTGATTGGAGGGAAAGGCTAGAATTCGTGTGATTATCCAGCTACGTTTATTGAGCTGCTACTTAAAAGAGCATCCTTACTCATGTGAGAAAAGATGGATTCACTCACACTTAGCTAGACACCACTAATTATAAGATGGATGGCACAGGGCAGGGCCCTTCTGGACTCAGTTCTGAATCCAGGCCAAGTTGCTAATCTGCCCTTGATGAGCACATGGGTTTTGTCAAGCCTGCCTGGTTCTAACCTTTGCGTTCACAACATGTCCCCTCACTCTCTTTTGTGTTGTTTTGTTTTAATTACAGCAACAAGGAGCAGCCACTACTGTCTACTGTGCTGTGGCGGCAGAACTGGAAGGCCTGGGAGGGATGTATTTCAACAACTGCTGTCGCTGCGTGCCATCGCAACAGGCACAGAACGGAACGGATGCGGCTGCCTTGTGGGAACTCAGCGAGAAGCTGATTGAGGAAAGAATTGGCAGGCAGGGCAAGTAAGGAGGAGAAAGACCAGCACATGCAGAGGATAGAGAGATACATACTGTCAGACAGAGAGGAGGGTGGGGTGGGGTGGGGTGAGGCTGTTGGGGAGGTGGAGAGAAAGAAACGTGCCAATATTGGAACTCTTCCAATCCTATCAACTAGAAGCTTAGAGCTGCAAATTAGTTAGCGTTAAACGAAATGGTAGCAATCATGAACAGCAGAAAAACAGACCGGGAGGGAAATACGAATGGCACGGGGCTAATGGAGAGCGTAATTCTGCTAGGTTTAATTCTCTCAGCTTTGCTTCCTATGATTAGTGTCTGAACTATTTTTTTTTAAAGATAGAGATAAGCTTAATTCTCTTAGCTTTGTTTCCCATGATTACAGTCTGAACTGATTAAGGAAAAAAGAAAAAAGATAGAGAAGGAAATATCCAACAGAGGCCCTAGAAAAGGTCAGAGAATAATTCTGTAAGCATTTTTGGAAGGAAAAAAAGAAAAGAAATGGAAGCTGAATTGCACATTACAATTTTGTAAGCATAATGCTACTCCCCACTCCGTGCTTTTTTGTTGTTGTTTTCAGTGCACAACTAGGAAATAAAGTGTGAAGTGCCTGGCAGTATGTTTTAAAACAGGTACACACACTAGGGATATCCCAGCTCCCTGCTATAGTGGATGTTTGGTAGCAGGACTAAAAAAAAAAAAAAATTTTCTGCAATAGGTTAAATTGGCCCTGGAGAAGTTTGATTTCTATACTGTACTTGCTTGGAAAAATGAAACACACATAAGACTTAAATAATCCCCTTGGAATTTCAGTTTGTTATTTGGATTCTCCTCTCTAAGGAGAATAGCCCATGGCTGGTTTTGCTTTCTGCACTTAAATGTTCAGTAAAACAATCCCAAGTATTAAATAATCAAAAAGTCTTCTTGATAGCAAATGAAAACCACTTTGCCTCAAAGGAGAAGATTCTCAAAGTCCAGGTTACACCCATTATAGTTAAATATATATAGTACAATATCCATAAAATATGATATTAAAAGTTACATTTGCAAACCATTCTCTAAATACTGCAGGGTGAACTCGTTTCTTTACAAACACATAGGGTGTAAGTAGCCAGAGGGATTAAAAATTGAGAATTTTAAGGAAAGTTGGATGTACATCAAATATCATCACCAGTGGCCCAGTTCACTCAGCACTATGTTCATTCGGTTTTTCTTTTCTTTTCTTTTTTTTCAGTTTAAATGTAATAAAAGAACATGCTTGAGTACTGTCACCTGAAGAGAAATAGTTCCTGTGAATGTCTTAGTTCCTTTTGTTTATTTTTGTTTATTTTTTAAGAAAAGAAAACTTGAGGAAAAATAAAGAATTCTTCGACACCATGAAAATTCACTTTTTTCCCCTTGTTCTATCCCGAGTTCATTTGTTTGTAGGTTTTTATTTTATTTTTCCCCCATTGTTTTGTGCTTTGTAGCTTTACTCTTCATGCCAGGAAATTGTTGTCAGCCATCTGCAAACCGGCATCATGTTATCTGCAATAAAGAAACAAATAAAAAAATGGTTAATTCTACATTGGGATTAGTATGTTCTTAGTGACATTTTTTCGTTACGTTGGTTGGTTTGACCTTTTACTTCTTCCAAGGCTATGTTCTCATTTGCCCTTGACAGGCTGGGAAGAAGAAAAGTGAGTAACAATCATTTTCTTAATGAACATAATCATTAAGAAATTCAGCAGATATATTCAGGGCTCTTGATTGCTCCAAGGAAAGAGTTGAATCTAGTCCAAGGAACCAATTTTGTCTCTCTCTAGATTTAACTTAAGGACCAAGTGTTATCAGAAGCTTTAAGAAAATACTATAAGCACACATTCCTGATGGCATCTACAATACATTACATACATGTGGAGTTACATTACATACATTACATACATTCTCCTGGATAACCAGAGAAAAGGTGTTTTCCTTCTTGTAGGAGAAAAGGGGACAGCTTCTGCTTTTCTCCACATGAAGAAAAATTCTTGGACCACTCTTGTATTTCCTCTGACTGTTGGCAATTAAGAGGTCAGTCTTCAGAAGAACCTCATCCGAGATCTCATGAAGGCCAGACAATGGAAATTATAATGAATTTCCTCCTACAGTTTTAGCCAAATAATTTCTTCTTCTGTAAACCTCTGTGGTGACTAGCTCAGTGCTCATTCCAGCAGTGCATTAAGCAAGCTTCTTTCTTTACATGACAGGGAATAGTGGTACTATTCCACATTTTAAGGCAGTTGTATGTAATGCAAAAAGATGCATTTGGTGTATAATAAAAAAAAGTTCTTTAATTACTAACATACACATTTTGCAATTTATTCTTGCTGTGTGGTTGAACACAGAAGGACTCAGTAACCAGTAATTGGATGATATGAAGTTTTCCACAAAAAGTCTTGGATTGGAGAACAGATCTCCTTTCCAATAACCTCATTCACAAGGTAGACTAGATTACCTTCTACTCCCGTTCCCAAAATACACCCAGTAAGCACTAGGTGGGCATTCAAGGCTAGTAATGTTGCACAGATGTTGCTACATTATATTTCCATCATCCTTCACTACAAATTGTGATGTGTAAGAAAGATAAGAGAAGGTCCAAGTATACAAAGAGTTCAACCATGTCTTACTCTTCCCACATTCAGTGCAAAACAAAACAAAACTCTTTTCTTGTTTTGGTGATACAAAAGCTGCAAAAGCATCACATCTTCTTCTCTCTAGATCCAAGCCAATCTATTTTGCATGCCACCTCACTGAACCACATGTGTTTCCTACACTGTTTTCCATTATGTTGCAAGAATAATTCTATGGTGCCTTGTCTATTTATGTTAAAAGAGGCCTGCTAGGGTGGAACATGGAAGCATGGCTGGCCCCACCAATTCAAACACCCATTTTCCTGGGATTGTGTAAACCTAGGAGAAATGGCAACTTCTTTTAGAAGGAGGTGAGGGCGTACCTCAATTGAGAAATGAACTGAGAGCTTATTTGAAAGATGGAATAAAATCTGTGTTCCTAAAGCATACATAGAATGTCCTTATTGGCTGCTGCATCTGTCATAGATTTATAGCAAGCTGCTAAAGAAAGAAATACATTGGATTCCCAAGTAGAATTGTTATACTAAACTTGCCTTTGCTACACAACAAAAATCTAGTCTTCATCATCTAATCTGCTCCTTACCACTGTGTTCCTGGCTTTCCATCATTCCAGAAGCCCTTCTTTAAGCAACCAAAATAGCAATATTTAAAAGGAATGAAATGGCTTTGTGATAAATAAAAAGGAACAATATTTCCAAAATAATTGCTTCTTTGCACTTTGATAAATGGTTGAAGTTCTCGATAATTCAAAGCCATTAGCTTTAAATGCTGCATTGTGCTTTGGTACATAATTCAGTGCATTTCCCTTTAGTCAAATTTATTTATTGATCTGTTGATAGATGAAGCATCGGATAATTTATTTAAATTGGTGCCTGAAAGTTTTTCTTTCTTCACTAACAGCTTCCATTCTCAGATTCATTAATGATAGCATCTATCTCTACATGCAATTTTTTTTTTTCTGGCTGAACTTCGGTTTGTTGGAAAAGAACACCACACGTTATCTGAGGAAAACTCTGCCTATCATATTAAATATCTATTACTGTTGAAGTGGCTAGGTTTTCTTATCCTGGTGCACATATCTATGGTTCGCTGATGTCCTTCGATATTATACAGACCCCACTCTTTCCCAGTCAAGACCCAGTCAAGAATGTAGTAGAGCAATCTAAATGTAATTCATTTTAAATACCATATTTATTAAAACTACATCACTCGTAGGTACAAGAGCAAGTAATTGCCTCCTGTGTATTGAATACTCTCTGCATTGGTTACTTTAAAAAGAAGAGAGTATTATTATAAAAATGATAATCGAACTCTTCAGAAGGAATAGAATAAATGCAATTTTTGCTCTGAACAGGGCTCCTTCCATAGAACAAAAGGCAAACATCCTTGGGGTGAAAAGCTGAGCCTTAGAAAGCCTTTTTCAGCAACACTGCAATAATGTGACTTATGTCAAGGTTGAATAGCTTTCTGCCAGGTGTTAAAACTCATGACCTTTCCAACCAAATACACTTATACTAACCAGTTTATCACTGGGACAATCAATATCTTGTAAGTGAGATAGTCTAGACAGTTCCTCTTTTGTCCTTTGCTGCTTAAGAATTGATAATTATATCTGGCTAGAAGAGAGAATGGCCTCCGTTGTTTGATAAACACTTCCTCTCTCTCCTGCTGTAATTCTTTTTGGTCTTCCACTCCTCTAAACTTTACTTTCCCTGTTCTGATCAGCCTGTACTCTGGGCGAGGTCCCTCCCAAATTAGAGGGATTTTTACAACAAATATCTATGTATTTGGTGATATGGAAACTGTTGTTTACAAGAGGAAAAAAGTAAGAACTACCCCAAGCACAGTAAAAATAAAAGAACAAAATAAACACCGTTACAGTTCCGGATTTCTTAAGCCTCTTTCTTTCCCTCCACTGCCCACAGTCTGGAGAAATAAACTCCTACTCATTCCCAAGCTTCTTTGTACAGGGCTAAACTAGATTAATCTTCGGCTTCTGGTATTTGCTCTTCCAATACAATCACTTGCTCTTCCTATAAAGATGCCTCTTGACAAATCTATATAATGTCCGAATCACCCTTATTGAGTGGCCACAAAAGTCCCATAGAAAAACATAGGTCAAACTCCACATCTTGCTAGCATAACGTCTTTATACTCATTCCATATGTTAGGTGCAAAATTAACAAATATTCTTTTCACTAGAGCAGTGGTTCCCAACCTTTTTTTCGCCCCGCACCCCTAAAGAAATTTCACTCGAACCTCGCACCCCCTGAAATTTAGACTTTAGGAACTACTGAACGCGTTAAATATATGGTAGGATTGAATCTTTTCAGCTATGTATGTGACGGCCACTAAATAACGATACTTAACTCTAAAATGAAAACAAAGTTAATCCATTGCAA